TTCGTGAGCTCAGCTGTACCTACTTGCAAAAGATGCCAGCTGTTGGTGACTGCTGGGTCCTGGGACCCTCACCAGAGTAAGCAGCCACCTCCCCCAGCCAGCTGTGTGCAATTCTGCCCTCGTGCATGTGGCCTCAAGGGAGAGGTTGGCAGAAGAGGCTCCACCTGTGCAGCGAACGGGGAAGCCATTATCCACACTGGGTAAAGACTTTCAGTGGATCCTCTTGCAGGGGAAGCACCCACACTCTGTCAGTAACCCCACATCTCATGCTCTGTGAGTACACCAGTAAATTCACTGTTCCTCAGGGTGAACTTGGATGGAATTGGACACTAGGATGTCATTGGGATGCTGGGAAGGGAGATTATTACATTATTGATTACATTATTGATGCCCCCCCACCTCCGGAGTATCCTATGTCTTGTTAAGAAATTCAGATAAATCTCTGTAAGTATGGGGCCAACCTAGTCTACAGAGCAAGTTCCAGGACAGCCAGGGCTACACAGAGAAACTTTGTCTCAAAACAAACAAAAAAAAGTCAAAAATAAAGAAACTTCAATGAGGGCTAACCCAGTCCTTCCCAGTCAGATTCGCCCTGTGAGATGGTCCTTTCTCCTCAACCAGTTAGATTTGCCCTGTGAGATGGCCCTTTCTCCTCAGCCAGCTGAAAGGCCTGGTACAGATGCTGGCGGCCATCTCCCTGCACACATAGTATGCACAGCCTACTGCACATCTCTCTTTCCTGGCTCCAGATTGGCAGAAAAGACCTCCGTGCCAGTCACTATGGATCCACTTCAGCCCCACTTGACTTCTTGAAGCCCAAGTATTGCTAGACAACTAGGAGAGAGAGAGGGGATGCACCCTATCTCCATCACACGGCCACCAAACACTGGGGCCTCCTGGAAGGACGGGGTAGGAAGTAGCAAGAGATGATAGACAGTCTGCAGCAGCGGAACGATAGAGTGGAGCTGAAGGTGTGCCACACTGAGGCAGTGGCTGTCCTGCTTCACTCCCATGATCCTTTCTGTTCCTGCTGCCTGCCCTCCTCTAACAAAACCCAGGTTCATACACTGCACCTGTCCTGCCCTCCTGAGCCGCCACCTCCACTGTTTTTAGTAGAAATTTCCTTGTGGGCATTTGCTGCAAAGCCCCACAAGTTGAGGCCAGAGAGATGGCTTAGCAATTAATACAGCACTTGCTGCTCTTCCAGAAGACCTGGGTTCAATCCCAGAACCCACATAGCAGCTTACAAGGATTTGTAACACCAGTTCCAGGAGATTTAATGCCCTTTTCTGACCTCCTCTGGCACCAGGCATGCATGCAAAACACCAACATACATTATATTTTTTTAAAGTTTTTGTTTTGTTTTTTTTTTCAACTCCACAGGTTTCCCAGTCAGAATTCAACCCTGACTTTGGAAGTGTCTAGCCATGTGGTCTGAGAAGTCCCTGCTCTAGATTCCATCTGCCATGAAAGACTGACTGCTCAAACCCTCATACCTAACCCCCTTTCCTGGTCCCCAGAAAATTAAGAAAAACGTCAGGCTGAGAGCAGGCAAGGCTTGCTCACCATATACAAAGATGTAGTGGATGTAGCTGTTCTAGCTATGACCTGAAGCACCACCCCTAGTGAGGTAGCAGGTAACCATTACACCTGCCTGTGACCTTAAAGTACATGCCCCTGGGGCATGGCCGCTCGGGACCCTTAAGACCTGGGATGTACACACACACAGCACTCTCTTCACTCCCTCGTGGTTTTGGATGCTAGAGACAGACCAGGCAAAAGAACAGCGTGGGACTGTGCCTCAGCCTTCCAGGACCCTGCAATGATTCCTCTGTTCTGTATTGTGAGATTTCCTTCTCTAATAAATTCCTTTGCCCCTTAAGCAGACTCCATGGATTGCTAGCAATATCTGGACCCATTACAAAGCCCTGCATCTCATGCGAGGAGGAGGAAGTGGATGGGAAGGTGAGGAAAGGGAGGGAAGGAGAGGAAAAGAAGAAAGGGAGATGAGGAGGCAAAGAAAAAAAGAGGCAGGAAGAAGAGGAGTTGGGGGAGAGAAGAAGACACCAAAAAGAGCATTCATGGAGGGAGAAGTCCTGAAGATAAAGAACCTAAATAAAACAGATAATCCAAATGGCTGCTGTACTCTTCCCACACTCAAAGCCCTCTTCTTGCTTTTATGCAATGGCAGACACATGGCCGGGTGGCCACTTCTACAGTGAGGAGACAGGTAGGCTGGCTTGGAGGATCTCTAAACTAGGGTCCCCTAAGCCCATGTGGAAAACCCCAGGGTAATTCACACCACTGGAACTAGCTGTGGCCTTCTCTAAGATGGAACAGTCCCATCTCATCTCCGAGCTGGTCCTTTCCCACGGAGAGGTTCCAGCCACTTTTGGGGACGTAATGAAGAAAAGTCACCATTGGGTAGCAGCTTCTAGAGCACCTCAGATGCTCTGAAAATCCCAGTGATAAGTCCCATGTCCACTGGGCTGGGGGAAATTCCTTCAGGTCTGGAAGCTCTTTGTGTGGGTGAGTTATGCAGAAGGAAGGGCATGTCTGAGGCAAATTCATAGCACAAGATGGCTTTTTCCCAGGTTCCTAGACTGAGCCAAGAAGGGCACTTCTTCCCCTTTCCCTTCAAGCTTACAACTCCCTCTAACACAAGTCAAGAGTGGAAAGCTAGAGTCCCAAAGGGCTGCTCTGCCCTGGTAAGGCCAAGAAGTGAACGTGTGTACCACAGTCCTTGTCTACATGGCCACAGGCTGCTCCCTCTCTACAGGGATACTACCAATCCCAAAGACAAGACAGCCCGAGTGCAGGGTCCAGAGAGACGAGTGGAGGGGTACAAGAGCCTGAGACTAAGAAGCAGGAGATGAGCCGGACAGCGGTAGCGCACGCCTTTAATCCCAGCACTCTGGAGGCAGAGCCAGGTGGATCTCAGTGAGTTCAAGGCCAGCCTGGGCTACAGAGCGAGATCCAGGACAGGCACCAAAAAACTACACAGAGAAACCCTGTCTCGAAGAAAAAAAAAAGGAGATGTGGGTCCAAGTATCTGCCCTCTTTACTTCTCTACCCTCAAGACTCAATGGTAATAACCTACGGGGTATGGTGGGCAATAAATGCCAAGTGCTGAGTACAAGACAGAAGGCAGACAGATGCCTTCATCCCATCCCTCGGGGATGAAAGCTGAGGTAAAATCTCTATCGCCAAAGAGATGAGCCCCGCATGGGCAGGGCCAGTGCTGCCAGGGCACCCACAGCCTTATAACCCTGCAAGGTGTAGTCCTCACTGGCCAAACTTAAGAACACAGCAGGGTTCCAGAACATGAAGAGCCACCAAGGATGGAGGATGGGCTGAGAAAACAGTATTTTCTCCGGCTTCTAAATTAGAGCCGGCTCCAAGCCTATCGACCCTCTCCTCTCACCTTCTGTAGGGCCAGGGAAGTTGAGAGTGTCTTGGGAAGCACCCTTGCAGCTGGGAGCCATGGTAACAAGCAGGGGCACCTAGGATCCCATCCAAACCCTTAATCTCCAGATCTTTTCAGCTGTCCAAGGAGACCACACCCGCCAAACTCCAGACTCACCCATCCTGCCAGTGCTGCATGAGCCTGCAGGTGTAGTTGGGGGGCCCGTCTCTACACTCCCTGCTGGCACCAGAGCCCCACCCCCTCCATCTTGTGAGCCTGATACCTCAGTCCAGCCAAGCAGACAAGGTCCAGCAGGAGTCGTGTGGGCACAGACCCGGGCAGGATTTGCTCTGGGAGTTGGGGCTTGGCTGACCCTCCCCACTGGGATCTTTGTGCCCTGCATGGGAAACCCAGTCTAGAGACTTGTAAAATAGAGAAGGTTAATGTGGTGAATCAGCACTCGAGGTGTGTATTTACATCCCCAAGAAGAAAGCTGAACTGATTCAGAAACTGAAGTCAGGAGCTGCTTCCTGTCAATCAGGATGAAGCACTTCCAGCATTTTCCAGAATAGACTTCGCAGTATCCTGACTGGCACACAGCTCCCCAGAGACTGCACTGTGCAAGAGATCTGTGCTCTTGTCCCCCTGCATCTCCACCTCTGGGGTTAGGTGTGCAGCATGGCAAGGACCTAGCGGCCTCCACCGCCGAGGTTCTCCCACACCCCTGTACTACACTACCAGAGAACCACAGGAGTCCACGGAGGCAGGGTCTGAAGCCCTGGAAGATGATACCAGCTGCTAGGCTTCTGTTTGAGCTAAACACATTTGAGCTAAAGATTTCCACATAAAAAGCTCCTTTCTGTGGGCCTGCCAGGGCCAGATGGGGAAAGAATGAGCCTGAGCAACTGGGATTAGGGCGTTTGCAGACAGCCACCACTGCCACTCCTACTACCAGTGCCACTGTCCTGACCCATGAACTAGACGCCAGGAAGCCAGGCAGAGGTGGAGGCAGGAGCCAGAGATGATCCTCCCCTTCCAGAGGTCAGAAGGATGGAACATTCAAAGAGCGACTTCAGAACTCACATCTGAAGAGTCTAACAGGAATAGGTTTTGGAAAAACCAAACCTGAGAGATTTGGTCTGTCATCCCCATCCTCTTCCTCACCACCCCCACGATGGTCACCATCGCCAGCGTGGTCATCATCATCATCATCCTCACTATCCCCGTTTTCATGACCATTGACATCATCATCACACATCATCAGCAGCATCCTCCATCCCTATCACCACTACCGCCCGCAGCATCAGCACCAACATCATCTTCCATCACCATCACCACTACCACCAGCAGCCTCAGCATCATCTCCACTGCCATACTCCATTCACTTAGCTCATCTCTGTACGGTACTTCCTGCATATTCTCTCCAGAGCTAGTGAGGAGGAGAGGGATACATACAGCTGATCTGCAGGGTCAGAGAGAGGCCTGACACAAAGTGGAGTCTCTCCTTTCTCAAACCCGTAAGACACCCGCCCCTCCTCCGCCGCCCCTACGGCTGCTCTCTCTCCCAAGACAGACAGATCATCCCTCTTCTTACATGGCCAAAGGGGTCCAGGTGGTTGTTTGTCAACTTCAGCTTCTGGAAGGAGACCAGCTGCCGCATCCAGTGGGCCCCCGTGGCAGGAGAATCTGGGTGGACATAAAGCCTCCCTGGCATGGCCGGCTCCGCCTTGCCTGCGACCATCCTGCAGGACAGCAGACAGCAGGAACAGATGGGTTCCCTGGGGTCTGGTGACGCCCAACTCCCCATTCCCACTTGGAGCAGAGCAAGGCCCAGAGGAACAACAGCTGTTTTTCTATCCAGTGCTGATGCAGGGGGGGAGGGGGGCAGTACTTCCCAGCTCCTTACTCACTGCAGTAGGAAGAGGGGGATGAAGGAAGGCAGCAGCATTTACTTCAAAGACTGGGGCTGTTTATAAAGATACTTCAGGGCGAGTCAGGCACTTCTGTGTGTTTTATTTATACGTTGTATTTATTTACTGGCAACACTTTAACCCCTGAACTACTGACCCCCCCACCCCCTCCCCTGGCACTCCCTTAAATATTTTTTTCTTTTTCAATGTTATAAATATGTCAGCTGGAACTTCTCCAAGGAACTTTCAAATCCAGAGCCTGTTCTGAGTTCTAATCTAGCTTTTGCTTCCATGACCTCCACTGTCACAGACCCCAGGGCCCCAGCCAGATGGTCTAGGGACAAGGACAGTGCCAAGGTGTGGTACTCACTTGGCTCTCCAACCTGCCCATCTTTCCCCCAGGGCCCTTTAGCAAGGACCCTGCTCTCTGACCCGAGGCAGCAGACCCCTCAGTCTGACAGACAGAAACGTGAAAGCTTCAAACCAAGTAATGTCACTAAACAATTAAAGTTTCTCAAGAAAAATGGTCCCCATGCTCCACCTCAGCGGGGCATTAGCAGTGCCTGAATCCACCAGGTATTAGCAGTTTTCCTGCCAGACAGCACCAGCCTGTCCATGACTGTGGGGGAGAATGGCCCCTCAAGGTCCAGCAAAGCCTACACACGTGCCCTTGGTAGTGCTGGTACTGAAAACACGTGCAGCATTCGGGCCTGCCTCAACTCCCATCCAGGTGCAGGCAGTGGACCGGCAAAACAACTCTGGGCGGTAACGGACTGGCTGGCATCAGGAGCAGAAAGAGCAGCTGAGGAAAGATGAGCCCTGGGCCTCTTACCATTTGTTGTCACAGAACTTGTAGCGATGGTCATCCGCGGGGACAATGTCGATGAGCAGGATGTACTTGGTCTTGGGGTTCATGCCTGTGACCTTTACCTTGTAGCTGGGAAACATCCTCCTGAGGGGGTCAAGGGTAGAGGAGAAATGGCAGAGTAAATGTAAGGACAGACCTGGAGCCCTTCTAACCAAAGATCATGACCCCCTTCTCTCTTGCCCTCCCTGTGCCAAAGACAGAGCTGTCCAAACTACACCAGACCGCCCCCCCAGCTGTCAATCTACATCCAGAAAGACAATTTACACCTTTCCCCAAATCTCTCACCCTGGAAATCCCCCAAGATTAGGACCCAGTAAGCTGTGAGCCGCAGCAGCATAGAGACCCGGGTTGGGATAGTGAGGGGGCATTTTAATAGCCATCTGGCTAATTGTCCCTGTCCTTCGCCAGCTTACATACAGCTAAAGTTCTGAGGTGACATCAAGGGCAGCTGACCTGGAAGCTACTCTGGGCCGTTCCCATAAGCAATGAGATGCCTTTCTCACAGGAAAGGGAACTCTGGGAAAACCCTGCTAAGCCTGGTTCTTCCTGTGTGTGCTGAGGGGTGTTTCTCATGGTAGATGCTTCGCCAAGGCCATACATAGCACCTTGACTAGGAACCCAGGAAGTCACTGGAGAAGCCTCATAGGTAAAAACATGGAAGCTAGAATCAGCCTGCCATTGATCACAGCCAGGCCCACCACTAACCAGCTAAGCCTCAGTCAGGCCTGGATCTCCCATGCCTTGATTTTCCTACCTCTCAAGTGAGGGTAACATTACTATGTCCTCCAGCCCCTGCTCTGTTCCACCTCCCACGGGCCAGTGCTACGGTCTGTTTCTGTGAAAATGGACCCAACAGAAATGAGTCTTCCAGTTCCTGTAGCCCAGGAAACTATTCTGAGAAGAGCTTCCCTAGGGCCCTCAGGACGTACACACGAACCTGCAAGAGCACAGATCCCTCTGCTGTTACTTAACCAGAACAGGGCAGACCTCCCCACACAGGGGCCTCCAGTCTTTCCCCAGCTGACTTTCCACAAATGAGGGCAGGAGATGGAACTCAGGTTAGACCACTTGTTTAGAATCTACTGGGTTAGATGACCATCACTACATCATACAAGTCACATACTCCATTTAAAATCTGCATGGCCATTTATCCTGACCTATAATTCCAGTGCTCAGGGAGGCTGAGGCAGGAGGACTTCTGGTTGGGCTCAATCTGGACTACATACCAAAACCTTCTCAAAAACAGAAAAAAAAAAAAAGTCAGCAGGGAGGTGGTGGTGCACACCTTTAACCCCAGCACTCGGGAGGCAGAGGCAGGTGGATTTCTGAGGCCAGCCTGGTCTACAAAGTGAGTTCCAAGACAAACAAAGGTACACAGAGAAACCCTATCTCGAAAAACAAAAACAAAAACAAAAACAAACAAACCGCATCACTAAGGGGTTCCCCAGAAGAGAAGTAGGGTCCAAACCTGACTGAAGCCTCAACCCACCCTGCACTGTGGTACTGAGGCTCAAATCAACACCAGGAAGCCATTCACTAAGCCCGAGAACCTCACAAGAAGCTGCCCTGAACACCTCAAACAGATTGGATACACCCCACCTCTACTGTCATCAGTACTAGCTCACCTGGTCTCCACAAGCTGGCAGACCCCGCAGAAAACTGGGACCCTGAGCAGAAGGGTTCCGGAAGAGTTGGTTCCCCTCCAGGACCTGCCTAGCCCAGCCCACGCACCTCCCTGCTACAGGAAAGACTGGTACACACACTGCAGAGGGAAAGGGCGGCTATGGCGGCCCAGGCGCATGTGCATGAGCATGTGGGGCAAGTGCGCATGTGTGCCTGTATGCGTGCCTGGAGGGCGGGGGCGGGGGGCAGGTCTAGCTGCAAGTCTAGGGACTTATAAACTGTGTGGAAGAATTTGTCTCAGATGTCAATTGAAAGCATTTTCAAATACCCACCCCACCCCCTCTGCAAGAATGGAGGAAGCCGGAGGACTCAGGAACCCACTCCAGCCTCCTCCTTCGAACCAGGCCCCTGCCCGGCATAGGGGCACAGCTGGAGTGGGTGCCACCCTGTTTCCTGGCCCTGCCTCACTCCTGGTGGGTCTAAAGCTAAAAGAGGAGGGCAGCAGCTGCCTTGCCTCGCCCTCCCTGGGGTTAAGCCAAGAACCCTGTCCCCTCCAGGCCACCATTTCGTAACTGCTACAGAAACAGCAACAAAATGGGGCAGCCCTGGCTGTGTTGGGCTAGCTAGGCCCAGGTAGTCAGTCGCTGCAGGTGGTAACAGCAGAGGACATCCATAGCCTCCTTCCAGGGCCAGGGCCCACATACAATAGGCCAGGAAGAAAGGCCTGACTGCCACTACAACAGTGTGTACAGCCTGGAATGAAAGGGGACTGAGGGACCCTGACCTGCCCATGTTGCACTGTGCCCCAGCAGCTCAGAGGGCCTGGCAGACACTGAGTGCTCCTCAGAAACCCCTGAGATTCCTGAACTCTGCTGCCCAAGGCTTAGGGCCAGGGTCTGCCCCCTTCCAGAGTCATTTCGAGGAGGTCTTGGGACACTGGTGTTATGGAAGGAGAGTACCTCCTGGCCTCAGCTTCTTCTATCCGCCAATTCCCATTTTCTGAGGGCATCAGCCTTCACAAGCAGAGAGGGTAGCCAGAATATTTGGTGTGGGTCCCCTGCAGCAGGATGAACTACCCTCTTAGAAACAGATGGCCAGGTCTTAGCCAAGCTTGTTGAGGGCATGCTTCAGGGGCCTGCAGACCACACTGTGGGGACCCCAAGTGCTGTCACCCATCCCATGCCCAACACCCAGTTGTCTGTCCAGGGTGGAAGGGCAGCTGCCTGGAAAGACGGGGTGTACCACCCACAACCGCACAGACATTTCCCCCTAGTGCTGGAACCTGAAGGCCCAAATTGCAGGGCTGTTCATCAGGTGAGCAGGCCTCCATGCAGAGGCCAGACTCAGTTTGGGGAGCTGTGACTTCCTCCGCGCTCTACTGGCAAAGTAAAGGTCCTCGCTAACGAAACACACGAAATGATCGTGTGAGCTATAAGTTATTTCTGATTTACGACATTAAACGTACCTGAAAACCAACACCCTACACTGAGGTTGGAGGCTCAGGGCTGGGGAGGGCGGAGCAGGAGCGGAGACGGTCACTAGCTTTGACTGTCGCTGCGCCCCACGCCGCCCGCACCCTTCCGCCCCCTTCGCGCGTGCCCCCGTGCCTTCTCTCTCCCCGCCACCCCGGGTCCCCGCACCCGCGCTGTCCCCAGACAGCTGCGGCGGCCAGCACGCGCGGAAGCGGCTCCGCCAGGGGAATAAACACGCTGGCCGCCTGGCCGCCCGCCGGGAGCAGATGAAAGCCGGGACCTCCCCTCTGATCAGCAGCCCGCTCTGAAAGGGTACCGGACCCGAGCCTTTATCTGCTTCATACTAGGAAATGGCTTTAGAATGAGCTGCTAGGATAAGCTTCCTCTGTGTGCAGACCCCAGGCTGGGGGGCGTTGTGCTTTTGGCTACAGATCTGTAAATGCGAACTCCCTGCCGGGAGAGGACGCCTCGGGGATGGCTGGGCTCCTGGGTCTTACAGTTGTCAAATGCAAGGCGCCGAATTAGCGCACACTCCCCCATCCCAGTGACAAAGTGGAAGTCAAGTCCTTGGAACCTCATCAGACTCTCCCTACCTAGCTGAATCCCCCAAACCCAACCCACCGCAGTCCCCGACTTCCCTGAGGGTGGAGATCTGCAGCAGCTACACGTGCCTTCCCTTCAATGCAGGCATTAAAACCCCGGAGCAGGCGAGAAGTGTGGAAAGTGGTTTTCAAGGTGGCAGCGGTGGTGACCCGGAGGGCACGGAGGAGGAATACGGGGACTAGGGAGGTTCTCCCTTATCTGGATGGTGGTTACATGCTGGGTTCATGTTTTTGTTTTGTTTTTAATTCTATAGGGCTGTAAACTTCAGATGCGCCCACATTATCTTGCAGAAATATTCCACTTCAAAGAAGAAATCTACATTTAAATGATGTACACGTACACACACACACACACACACACACACACACACACACACACACACACACACACACACACACGGTTCCTATCTTAGAACCTTAAAGGGAAACAAAATGCAAAATGAACTGTAGGGAAAGGCAGGGATCACTGGAAAGCCCGCACATCATTTTATCCTTAAAATTCTGGGGTCTTATTGGGAAGGGGTGGGCAGCAGCCAAGGGGGGGCAGTGAGGGCTGCCTATATTCTGGCCAGACCTTTTGGAGCCAAATGATTTCTGAAACCCAGAGAGAGAGAGAGAGAGAGAGAGAGAGAGAGAGAGAGAGAGAGAGAGAGAGAGAGAGCGAGCCTGCCGTTCTAATACACCCAAAGCATTTTTAAAGACATATTTTCCCTGAGGGGAGGAGGGTTGAAGGGAGGGTGTGTGGAATGGATGCTGTTTGGGAAGGTCAGTTGCTTTGCTCGGATTTTTTTTTTTTAAGGCACTTCCTTCTGATAGACTTTTGCTTTCAGAAAATACTTTAAGACGAGATCAAAGCGCTCTCTCCCCAACCCGCTTTTCCCAGGGTCTTCAACCCTTATTTCTCTTATCATCCACGCCACTGGGCTCTGACGCTCTGTATACAGAGCGAGGGCAATTGGCTTTGAAGCCCGGGATTAAGCCCGGCCAAATCCTTGCCTCAGAATAACAAACAATGCAGGTTCAACAGGAGTTCTCATCGGTAGTTCATTTTTCAAACGCAAATTCACTGTCACTAACACAAGCAACATTGAACTCAACAGGCTACGCAGTCTGATAGCGGAGATTTATCTGGTGGCAAAACCATGGCCTAGGGGAAGGGCAGTCAGATGGGTAGGAAATGTTCATTTTTGGAAGGTTTATATTTAAATTTTTGTGGAGCTCACTTTTATCTGTGTTTGGGAGGAAAAAAATGCAGTTTCTCACATGTATCAAGCTTGGAAGGAAAATGAAGCCAAGAGAGAAATCTGTTCCCTGCCATTACCAACAAGAGCACTCTGGGGCTGAGGAGTCCAGACTGACTAGGGAGGGTTTGGCTCTCATGCAATACCTGGCATCCAGGGATCTTGAGCATTTAGTCAAAAGCACTATCCAATGAGGCTGATTCTCTTTTTCGTTTGGCCTTCAGATTTTCAAGAACCCAATGGGCAGAAGACTTGTGAAACCTTGAGCTCAAACGCTCTTGAGAACATTCTGATTCTCTTCTCCAGGGCCCCATCCTTCCCCAGACAGACAGACAGCAGTTATCATGCCCCTAAGCAGCCAGATTCTCTAGGACCAAGGACCAATCAATCCTTTACTTTACAGGGCATCCGGGGGGAAAAAAAGAAAAAAAGAAAGAAAAAAGCCATCAAGGAGATTTTTACATCTTGTTATTTATGATCCAGGGTGCAGGAAAAAGTACCAGGCCATCTGCTGAGAAAGGAACATGTCCCAGGAAGGTTACTGGTACACTTGCAGTTTGGGAAAACACTGACTGGGTGGGTGTGGGAGAGCCAGCCACAAGCCCACACAGAGCAAGCAGGCTGCATCCACAGACTGCCTAGGCACAGTGAGCCAGCCAATGAAGGTGGTCTCTGAAGACAGTGGGGTTCTGGGGGTGTAGCTCAGTGCTTTAGCAGCACGCTTAGCATGTGTAAGATGGGATGGATCCTAGCAACTCCCCCCCAAAAAGATAGTAGGAAGGTGAGCAGGAAGAAATGGGGTCCATAAGCTCTGAAGCAGGAGTGGATAAGGCTAATGAGTTTTTCCAATTAGATTTCGCATAACTTTCCACCAGAGAAATGAAAGAATGTGAGGGCCACATAATCGACCAGCATCCTCACAGCCATTTTTAGACATCAGCACCATCCCCGAGACAGACCCCTAGGGAGAATCACTAGGATAGGGCACAGGCTTCTGACTTAGAGGAGGGTAGCCTTGTGGATGTGAGGACTTCTGCTGGGAGCAGGGAGGAAGGAGGACCCACACAGGTAGGTACAGAAAGCCAGTGAAAACCACAAACTCATACATCCAGAGAACATCCCCATCATGTATTTCCAAGAGGTTAAATCTACAAACACAAAGTCCGGAGTGTTCTTCCCTCCATGTCAGCAGGCACAAGAGACCAATCCCCCTGTCTCCACACCTATAATGCACCTGATGTTTTACCAGTGCCTTTCACAGGAACCCCTGTTTGAGTCCCATAGTTAGGAAGGACATACATACAGCTACCATTTTTAAACACCTCGCACCAAGGAGCCACAGGACGGTAGTTACTCGCCCACGTGTAAAGCCCCTTTCTCTATTCTCCATGCCCATTCAACCCAGGCCACCCTCTGCCAAGAACACTAAAGTGTCCTCTTTTTCTATGCCCCAAATGCAACCAACTCAGGGCCCTAAAACCAACTTTCCTCCTTCCCTGATAAGCCTTCCATGCCATCTTTCTGAGAGGGTGGCCAAGTATCCATATTTCCATCTTCAACAAAATTTAAAAAAAAAAAACTGCACAATGCCTGCCTGGGAGCCGACAGGAAGGACCCCAGTATCCACGCACTGCACACAGCACCCCACTGACTTTTGTTTCTTTTGAAACGAAACTCTGGCCTATGCTTTGTGGACAGCTGAAGGAAGCAGGACCTTTTCTCTTGTGGGTGAAGTGGAAGCAGGTAGAGGACCCGCATGGCCCTCGTCTGAGGGCTGCACAGATGGAAACAGTTGAGTTGCTAAGAGAACACTCCTCCCTGTAGTCTGACTCCACGTCCCTGGCCCTTGACGGCGGCTGGCGGCTTACGATCTGATTTCTCCAAACAACACTTTTCAGGCTCATCACCAGGGAAATGGACATCTTACCTAGTTTGCTCCCAGGGACCAAAACCAAGTGTATGGATGCAGAAGGACAGAGTATCCACAACAGCTCCCTAAACTGTGAGTTCTCAGAGTCTATCGCTTGCCAACTGCTCTCTCGGGCCACTCCTGTCCTATGCCAGCCCATCACAGCAATGTCTGCTTTACACATACTCACAGGCATGTGACCTCTCAAGAACACACACACACAGCTTTGTGTCTTTCTCTTCCCACTCTCTCCTCCCTCTACTCTCCCATAGACACCGGTGCATTTTAAAGATGTTTCCACTTTATAAATCACCCTTCTCTGGCAGCCACTGAGAGCTAGGGAGGCTCCCCAACAACACACGGCCCCAGGGGTGCCTTCCCCTAGGCTGAGGAGAGTGTTGCCCTAGGATAAGTAACTTGGGGTTCATGCTACTCCCCAAAAGTTAGGGCAATTGAGAAACACAACCTCATCGCTTCTGTCGCCTGAAGGTTCCTTCGGCAGATCAGGCCAGAGAGATTGCCCCAAGGGCCAAGCATCCCTGCAGGTGGCCTCCGGGTGTGGCTGCACTGGTTTGCATGTCATCAGCATAAAGCTGTCCCCTCCGACAGAGCCTTCCGACCCCCTCAGGTCCTTGGAAGGTGTAAATGCTGTCAGTCCAGCCGGCTGCTGTAGAATGTGATGCTGGGACCTCAGTGACTGATGAATTTCCCACTAGCCCCAGACCAGGAACCCAGAAGACTGCAGAGTCCACTCCCTGCTGGACTTCCAGGCCAACACATCCTCCTGACTCCCACCTGCCGCTCTCCCCGCGTCACTCTCCCCCCGCTAACCTGCCGGCCTTGGTGATGATCATCTCGGTGCCTGCTTCGTGGAACTTCTTCCACAGCTCCTTCTCATGCAGCCCCACCTTGATGTTCTCGATGGTCTGGGGATGGGAGGAAGGAGAACTGGTCTGCCTGGCTGGCCCACAGCTGGGCTCCACGCGGAGCCTGCATAGAGTGCAGACCTACGGAGAACATGCCAGCCCCAGAGCCCACTCCTCGAGATTTCGTTTCACAGAATTATTTTTGAACCACTGGAGAATTTGAAACTTTGAATCAGAGATTCAAGCTCCCTCCACTGATGACCCTACAGAGGACACATAGTGATGGAGCCGGAATAGACGACACTCCACAGCTGGCCTTAGTCACCGCTTGTGGATGGACCTAGGGACATCGAGAAAGGCTCTGGGGATGCGGGTTGTGGTGATGTGTACGGTAGCAGTAGCGGCCTTCTCGATAACTATTCTGTGGCCTTCCTAATCTGTCCCACTCTCTAGCTTCCACCCTCTTGGAGTCCTCGGAGATGGACATGGGTTTGGGCTTGTCCCCTGAATCAGGGATCAGAGTCAGCTCCGAGGGGTTCGAAGTGGAGAAGGACCCTCCCTGGAAAGCAGAGTGCACCAGCCATGCCCAGCAGAGAACCAAAGGGCTGACAGTATCTGACCCCAGGAGTCCTGTCTACTACCCACGGGAGGACCCGCACAGACAACTCGACGCCCCTACCTGCTCCGCGGCTGCAGCGGCGACGTCGGCACCCTGGCCCGGGGGGCTGCCGAGAGTTGCTCCGCTAAGTCCAGGCGCGGCCAGCGCGGGCTCGGGGGCGTTGGTGGCGTTGGTGGTGCTGGCCTCCCCGAGCGCTGGGCCCGGGGCCCGGAAGGCCTCCTCGCTCTCCGACAGGCCCTTATCCTGCAGCATCTCCTGCGGGCACAGCACACGCGGAGTTACACAGCCAGATCTACACTGGCCAGAGGCCCCGCGGCCCTGTGGAGTTGAGCCCCCGGGGCTTCTAGTGGGTGCCCAGGCACACGTGGACCCCGCCCCCTTCTGAGCTGGGGGAGGGAGCATGAGGGAGGGCAGGACCCTAGCCTCCTCCCTTCAGGTTCTGGACCTGGGAGGGTCTACGTGCAGTTTAAGGTCTGCCTGCCCCCAAGACTTGGGGCTGTATGATGAGTAGGTCTTAAGGAAGGACCGCCTTCCCGCAGAGTCTCAGCTACACCCTGTGTTCCTCCCTCCAGCTCAACTAGAGCACAAGGCCTGGGTCTTCTTGACCACTTGGAAATAACTAGGGTCTCATTTTTGGTCCAGGATACTCAGGACACTACCGGGGCTGGCGGGAGAGGAGAGCTAGGCCCAGATTCCTGCAGCCCCACACCTCAGAAGCGCCCAGAGCTGGGGCGCTTCAGGCCAGTGCTCAGCTTTCTGCCCTCACCCAGCACCCCAGTCCAGGTACTCCAAGTGAAGACATTCTGAACCAAAAGCTTCCAAACCCCACACCGCATCCTCCTCACCCGAGGAGCACACTCTCTCTTGGGGTCCCTCTGATCCAGACCCCGAACTCTGCCAGGGGCCTCCTCAAACTGTCCTCACATTCACACAAGCTGGCGCACACACTCGCTCTTTAGTTCCAAAAAGGAATCTTTGGGCCAAAGGATTCAAAGCCTTCTTAGCTAAACACTAGGCCAGTAGGGCGGGTCCATTTCACAATCAGTCTGGCCTTGCCTCCGGGCACAGCTAAATTTAAGTATCTAGGCCTATTCACCTGCCTGCCCCAGTGCACGTTGTGGTCTTGGAGACACCAAAAGGAAAAATCTAGCTTGCAAGGACCAGCCTGTCCTGCATCCCTCGGGGTGCAGCCATATACTGTTCTAGGCTTCCCTTCCTACCAGCCTCCTCTTCCTTCAGGATCTGTCCAAGTTTTCGTGGGCTTTCTGTGTGTCTTGGCGGAAATCTCTCCCTTTTCTCCTCCCTCCCAGACCCTTTCTGTTCTACCCCGAATCTCTTTGGCCATCCCCAGGCTCAAGCCCTTCACCTACCCAGCTCACCAACCTCTGCACCCGGGCTGAGACTTCGGCTCCCAGGGCCTCCAAAGTAAACAAGCCAAGTGCAACCGAGGAGATAAAAGGGGGCCAGGGCCAGCCGAGGCTGGGAAAAGCCCATAAAGATAAGGCTGACAGCCCAGCCGGTCTCGGCTACAGCCCGCCGGGAACAAGCAAGGCTGCCTGGACATGGCCTGCCCCTGCACCCTGCCTTGAGCCACGTGCCGGTTCCCCGGTCGAGCTTCGAAAATCTAGGATTCCCGCAAACCGCAGGGTCATTGGCTTCCATTCTGTTTGGGCACCAACCAGGGTGGGAGCCCACCAACGGCCTCGCCCGCCCGAGGTGCGGAGGAGGCTCGCAGGGTTGGAGCAGGGGCTGCCTGCGGAGGTCCCTTGTCACCCAGAGCCGAGCAGCGGCCTTGCGGCTCTTCGCCCTGCCTGCGCTAACGCGGGCTGTCCTCTTAGGGCCGCGGCCGCGGCCGGCGGAGTTAGGCTGTGCTCTCCTTCCCCTCCAGTGGGTTGCGGATCGCTTTCCTCTGCCTCTAAGCCACCTCTCCAGACGCCCCCAAGACTCCCTTTTTTCTCTTCCCCTTTTGTGCGCTCCTCTCGGTCCCAGTGCGCTCGGATGCTGGAATCCTGGGTCCCGCGCTCGCCCCAGCCTCAGCGCCAGGGTCCATCACATGGACCCTCCGCGGGATGGCCCGCGGGCTGCGCTGTCCCTGCGCCTGGGATGGTTGCTTTGGGCTCCCTCATTTTTCTGGGGAGAGGATAGCATTTTTCTTTTCATCTTTCTTACTAATAAAAATTTTCCTTACACTAGGGGGCTTTTAAAAAATATTTACTATTTTTTAATGTTTTAATTGTTATTGTCGAAGTAAAATTCTGGTCAGTTCGGCAACATTAAAAATATTTATCCCTAGCTCTGGAATTATTCGTGATTTTAACACTGTAAGGGTAAAGCAGGAGTTTAGTATCCTTATGGAATACGTTGTTGCTTTTGTGTTACTGTTTCACCCTTCAGGGCTCCCCAGGCACAATAGTAATACTGTTACCAATATTTCGGTCATTAAATACAGTGTTCAATTGGTCCGATTAATCTATCATTATTTTACTTGTACTGGGCATCCATGTTCCCACTTGAGCTCTTCATTCTATCTAAATTTTCGTAGCTTGTTATTTAGCATAATTGTAATAGTATTGCCCCGATATTCGGGTTAATTTTCTTTACATCATTATAATATTTCTTACTATCTTGCCATGATTTGTTTTGCTAGGGTTGTTCATGTTACTCTAGGCATTATTACTCAACACCTCCCTCTAATATTTCGCTCGTTACTCTGTCATTATTTGCAACGGTATGGATCTTAATTTACCTGTTATTTTTCATCACTTCACGGCTGCTTGTTACTTTGTCATCATTTGTAATATTGCTGTAGCCCTTATTACTCTGATTATTTTTCAGCACGTTGGTATAATACTTATTGCTCAGACATTATTTATACTGTTGTGACTATTAATACTTGCTCATAAATCCTCATTACTCCAGCAATCCTCATCACTGTGTCTCTACATGTATTACAATTACTTGTTAATATTCTGGTTGATATTTAATATTGATATGGTATCAACAATGCATCGTATAATAGTCTCACATTGGTACTGAAGGAATTTTCCTTAATATTTGAGTCGTTCATCTTGTCCCTAGCATGTTTCCTACAGTACCTCAGTTTAGTAATTTGCTAAATCAGTATTATTCCTTATATTCTATGGATAGTGACTTTGGTACAATGGTGGTTGCTTTGTCTCTGTATTTGAAAGTACTTTTCAAATTGTTTCTTCAGTTCTTTTCAAATTGTTATTACTATTTTCATTCGATCCTGAAAAAGACTATTGTGTTGGCAAAAAAAAAATCCTAAATATTATATCAGTTAACCGTTTCGTTCTGTTTCTTTGGTAATTGCTCCCATTCTGGCAGTTTTGAGCTATTGTTACTTTTGTAACGGTCACTGATTTAAATCTGACTAGTCCGTGGCATCAAGGTTCTCATTGCCTACATTTTTTTATGGATTTTCAGTTTTCACCGTCAGTCTGGACCCCTCTTCTTTGGCCTTTCTTATTCTGCAAATTCGAGTTTCAAGGCCACCACTCTTGTCCCGACAAAACTGCCCCTTAAACAACAATACTTTATCCCTAGACCCATTTGGTCCCATACTCCAGACTGGGGACTTGTGCCCTTGCCACTGGGTATGGGGCCGAGTCAGTGATCGGACTACTGAGGCACGGTCGCGGTCCTCCTGCGGCTTTGACAACCCGAGGCTCTTACTCCCGTGGCCCCCTGTTCAGCTCATCCCCCTGGATCCTGCTGCTTAACCCTGAGCTGGGTGACCCCAGGCCCGCGCCCCGCTCACCCGCGACGGGCTGGAGCCCACACTCACCCTAACTGCACAGCAGCATGCGGAGGCGCCTGCGGCCCCAGGTCCGCAACCAGCTCAGGTCCGAGAGGCGTGGGACCGTAGGGGCTCTGCCCGGGCCTCTGGGTCACCGTCCCGCTGCCCTCTGCGTCCTCGGGGCCCGGCACATCCCGGGTGTAGAGCGGGCCCTTGATCTCCGAGGCTGCACTTTGGGGCCTCTGCTCTCTCCTCCTAGTCCTCCCTCCCTCCGGGGCCGCACCCCCCCCCCCCGTGCTGACGTTGCAGCTGTCAATCAGTTCTCGCCCGCCGCCCCCCGGAGAGGGGGATTCTAGGGTCCTGGGACTCCTCGGTCCTCTCCGACTCCAAGCCTCGATCGGGCCGCGGGCTCCTCGGCAGTGTAGCTGGGTGCCCTTCCCTCAGTCCTGGAGCCCCGCATGGTTTAGATTAGAGAGGCGGGAAGAGGGGACGGGCGGCCGGGTCGCGGTGCCCTGTTCCCACTGAGACTGGACAGCCGGGCCCGCTCCCCGGCGCCCACGGCTGGGCCTGACCACTGGCCGGGTCACCTCCCCGCACGGACTCTCCCACAGCCCCGCCTGCCCGCGATGGACTTGGGAGCCGGTGTCCTCGGGGCCCAGGGCACACACTTGCCCTGTACTGACCCTGACCACCCCATGCTCGCACCTGCAGCTGTGGGCCCTGGAGCCCCACTGGCCTAGCGCCCCAGGAGTCACTGAGGAGGGTAGGAAGGAGGCCGGGTGGCCGGGCTGGGCCTGGTGGCCGCAGGGAGATGCTCAACTGGAGCTTGGGCCCTAACCTAGCCTCAGCTGGACTTGGGAGTACCAGGATTGGCTGAACCCTTTGAGGAAACTGCAGCCGAGGAACAGGCTTGGGCCAGCAGGTCCCCAAGATCCAACCCAATGCCCGTACTCCAGCCCGCAAAGCTGAGATGGCTGTACCTTTTGCTCTGAAGGTGAGGCCTGCTTAGTGGCCTAGACCTCAAGACTGCCTGTCTCCACTGGGTCCACTTACCTTTCTTTCTCTTGGACCTCTCACAGGTATATAGACTCTTCACACCATGCATGTCGGGGCTCCCCAGCCTGCCACATGCCCAGGAAACTTGGTCAAGAACATGCCTGCCCACCCATCTTCAATGGTCCCCAAATCCCTTGTTATAACAAGGGGGATCTCGGCATCAGTCCTCAGTTTTCAGCGTGGGCTGTATCCCTCCCACACTGGAGTGATCAGTCTCCCCAGTCAGCCTCAGCTCCTCTTCAGGTTTTACCCACGGAGGGAAGGCATACTACCAAGATCCTTTCTTGAAGGGGTCTGCCCCCCTTTTAAAGCTGAGAGCCAGCAGCGCCTCCGGATTCCATATCCTCAGAGGAGGCGGTGAAACAAGAGTCTCAGAAGAAGAAGAAGGAAAAAAAGCTGCTGTGGGAGCCAGCCAGCCAGCTCAGCAGTGGTCTGC